TTTTTAAGATTTGTTGGCCAAATCTAAATTTAGTCATTTTCTACCTATCAAAGAAACATTTAACCATATTCCAAGAATAATCAACAATCAAGAAGATTAGATTCAAATTCTGAGTCTTCATATCAACACTTAAAAGAATTTAAACAATCAATAGCATATGAGATGAAAATAAAATGATTCATCCTTCCTTAAAAACAATCCATTACAAAACAAATCATCCCAAGTTAAAACAGAGGATAATATATTCCCATTCATAACAATGGAACACAAATCCTAAATTCCAAAATGGAAATCTATATTCAAAACTGGGTCATGCACGGCTATTTAAGCCAGAAAATTTTGTAGTGAGAAAAAGGAATTTCAAGTTTAAAGGTTATACAAAGCAAAATGGTAACAATACATATATGATGCTGAACTTTTTTTTTTTTTTAAAGCAATTTGGAAATGGAAAAAGGCCCCCCAAAAACCATGCATGAAGAAGAGGAGGTTGCTGTTATTATTTGGAAATGTTTAGAGGGCTCGCAGTTTGACAATGTCCAAGCTCATCTCGCTGGGATCTGTAGCCTGAATCTCAACCTGAACCCCATCCAGTTCTCTTCTGAACCTGTCCTTGGAACTTGCATACAGCATTTTACTTCTCACCTTAGCGACATCAGGAGCCCTGAAAATTAAGCATCATGCATTGATTAGAAATGTATTAATTCCATCTCAGAGGGTTGTTCACTGTTATTTGTACAGGTTGATTACCATGCAACGAAGAAGATCTTGCTCTTCTGGCAATTTTCATCAGTTGTGAAATCAAAGTCGTAGACAGCATAACGACACTCGTTAGGAGGCAAACTGTCAGTGAAAGCATCGTAGCTTTCATCGGATTGCCCCAGTTTCTCAACCACAACCTGGTGGATACTTTCATCAATCTTGAACACAATGAACCTGTAGATTCTCTTTGCTTTTAGCTCCTGGAACCTCAGCTTACATTCATCACTCACAGCCATTCCAGATGACGAATTCGCCTACCCCAGAAATTGGTTTAGAAAGTACGAAACAGAACAATGCAATTGACAGAAGCATTTCACCAAACAACTTAACTAACAATATTTCATTCATATCAGTTCAGAAAAACAAAATCTCTCAGCTCAAAAATTATTTCGGTTTTAATTGAATGAGAAAAGTTTCCAGCAGTGTGATCTATGAATTAAAAGAAGAGATAGGAAGACACATACCATTTTGCCAACAATGAGAGAAGGGACCTTGTGAGATGTGAAACAATGGAAAGGGGAAAATCTTGGGATTGGGCCAAAGGATGAATGCTGGTTGTGGAGAATAAAAGAGAGAAAGCAGATCCTTCTTTCAAGGTGAAGAAAAAGAGTAATGAAGGGAGGGGAGAATTTAGTGGAGAAATTGATGGTGGGGGATTTTCTCTTAGCTTACCAAGGTAATTTTGTCCACAACTCACTTCCATATGTTTCTGCTCTTCAAAACTTGTGGATTATCACTAATGTTTTAAAATTACAGT